GGGGTAATGAACTGACATGCCTTGCAATGGCCACATCTGTGTGTTCCTTTTGTGTTCGTGAGCCAGTTTGATTCTGATGCCACGGGAGTCAAAAAGCTATGAACTAGAAGATCTTTTAGATTCTTTGATCTTCGAGCCGTAATCGTTGGATAGTTGGGCAATGACTGTTTCAAAATGGGATTATGTAGAAGAATAGGCCAGTGCGTGGAAAACGTTTTTGTCATTTTGCTCCAACTACTATCAAAGGTAAACTCACCAATCTGTCTGTTTCACTGGCTCGTTGGTATGCTCTTTTTAAGACTTTATTGGGATACCCCAAAGCTTTGAAACGTAGTTTGAGAGTTTGGCATTCATGATAATAGGTTGAGTCTTGTGAACAGTTTCTCCTAGCTATTAAATATTGGCCATATGGAATTGAGGCCTTCAATTTATAGGGATGATGACTTTCCCAATGGAGAAGACTGTTAGTTGATATTGATTTCCTGAAAAGTTCTGTTTGGATGGTTCCATCCTCCATTAACAGAATTTTGAGATCAAGGAACACCAATTCACTCTCGTCAATGACATGAGTGAGTGTCACATTAATTTGATTGTTATTTAAACTTTTTACAAAGTCTTCGAAAGCTTGTACCAGACCGGTCCATAATAGGAGCATATCGTCAATGTATCTGTACCACTTCAAAATATATCTGTGGTACACACTGTATTGTGAATCTTTCCAAATTTGTTCCTCCCACCAACCTAAAAACAAATTTGCATATGTGGGGGCATAAGTCGTACCGATAGCAGTTCCAGTATTTTGCAAGTAATATTTACCATTAAATATGAGATAATTGTGAGTCAGAATGAACTCCAAAAGCGAATTAAACGAAATCTGTGCTTCTTCGTATGATGATGATTCTAAAAAGAAGCGACAAGCTTCCAGACCTGCCTTGTGTGGGATATTACTATACAAGGATACCACATCAAGACTTGCTAGTAAGGTGTATGGTGGCACCTGAAGTCCTTCTAAGATCAACAAAGTAGATTTGGTATCCTGTATATAAGATGGAAAGTTAATAACATACAGATGTAAAAGTTTGTCAACAAATTTACTGGCTCTTTCTGTCAGGCAATTATTGCCAGAGACAATTGGTCTCCCTGGGGGTGTCTTCATATCCTTATGCACTTTGGGCAAACAGTACAGAGTAGCTATTGTAGGATGTTTATGAGGTAAGAGATATTTGAACTCATCTGAGTTGATTATTTTATGTTCCATTGCTTTCGTAAGAAGGTTCTCAAATTCTTTTATGTACATTTCAGTGGGATCAGAGGGAAGAACACTGTAATTCATTGGATCATTCAGATGTGCCATGCACATATCAATGTACATGTCTCTGTTCAGAAGAACAATATTTCCGCCCTTGTCTGCCGGTTTTAGGATGACATTGTCCAGCATTTTTAATTCTTTAAGAACTTTATGTTCATTAAAGGTTAAGTTATTAATTGGCGGATTTTCAGAAATGGTCTTTTCCAGATCGCTAGTGGTCATTTCCACAAAGAGGTCAACATGTGGAGTATCCTTTAAATTAGGGGTAAACCAACTCTGGGGCCTTAATTCTGTGAGAGGTTTGTTGGTATTCTGTTCTTCCAGTAAGTCCGTGAGTATTTTAGAAAATTCTAAATCCTCCAGGGATAGACCCAACTCATTAGCTAATAAGTCCCTTTTGGAATGCATTAAATTCAATGCTAATTTTCTACCAAAGAGGTTTATATCGTTTGACCAATCAAATTTGTTATACCCTGGGGAAGGTACAAATAATAGACCCTTATTCAAAAGGGAAATATGTCGTGGTTGAAGGGAGAAGTTTGAGAGATTAATGATTTTATTAGAAGTTAGAATCTCTGGCCTCGTCCTGGTCTCTTGTAGGCCCAGCGATCCCTGTCCCTCAATCTCCCCCTTTGTTCGCGAGGGGGATCCTGTCCTAAAAAAGTTTTAGAGACAGTAGAGTTATTTGTGTCAGGGATAATGGGGGCATCCAAAAAGGCAACTGATTTTTCAGTGCTCCTTAGAATGCTCCTAGTAGGTGAATAATTAGGTACAGGGTCACTATTGCGGATACTTTTAGTATATTGTCTTTGTCTTGACCTTAAAGGACCACTCTAGCCACCCAGACCACTTCAGCTTAATGAAGTGGTCTGGGTGCCAGGTACCTCTAGTATTAACCCTTTTTTTTTTTTATAAACATAGCAGTTTCAGAGAAACTGCTATGTTTATACTGAGGGTTAATCCAGCCTCCAGAGCCTCTAGTGGCTGTCTCATTGACAGCCGCTAGAGGCGCTTGCGTGCTTCTCACTGTGAAAATCACAGTGAGAGCACGCAAGCGTCCATAGGAAAACATTGTAAATGCTTTCCTATGCGACCGGCTGAATGCGCGCGCGGCTCCTGCCGCGCATGCGCATTCAGCCGATGACGTCGCGAGCAAGGAGGAGAGGAGGAGTACAGCTCCCCGCCCGGCGC